TTTATGTAGTAGTGGGGGTGTGGGGGGGGGGAGATACTTCATGTATATTGTTTGTATTACATTTAATAAGCTTCAAGTAACACTTACTATTTTATAAATGCTTTTGAAAACAGAATTGCCCTCTCCATACCTCTTGAAAAGAATGTTTGTTCGTCCAAATTAAGTTAGTTTGAGGCTTCAGGAAATTTCAAGTGGGATTTAAGTAGAAAACTGCCACTTTCTCATTTCTACTGAAGAAATTAAGAGAATAAAACATGTAACATTTTTTTTTCCTATGAAGTAGAGTATCCTTTAGTATTCCCAAGTTAGACAGCTTAGCTCGTACAAATCTGGAACTGTTATAATCTCTCCTGCTTTTGCCAACTTTTGTTTTTCTGCTTAATACATAGACCATGTGACATTCAAAGTAACGATGTTGAAAATTTTCTTCATTGTTCCTCTTGTGAGCATTTAGTTAGTGCTGCTGCCAAAGGATAAATAGGAAATTTTTAAACATTCAGTACTCTGACCTACAGAAACTTCTGGCTATTTGTGAAAGGAGCTCACAATTTCAGAAATTCTTCCAAGTCCTCTATTTTTTGTCTCCCTTTTCTCCCTCTGGTTCATTTTCAGATTTGTAAGCTTATGTAGTTGAAACATTTTTTTATTCCTTGTAGAGAAATCTTTTCTGGGTTTATTTGAATCAAACCTTTTTCCAAATCCTTAGAGAAAATATGTCTGAGATGCATCTTGACATGAAGCATATTTCCGGTTAATTTCTCACCTCTTATATGTCAATAACCAGGCTTTCATTCATTTTAGTGAACTAGATCTTACCTCTCAAGAATGATATGACTATTTTAAAGCTTTTGGGGTTTTTTTGCATTACTGTTTTTTATACTATCTTTCTCAAACCTGACAACATGGCTTCTGCTGGAAAGGAATCATAGAATCATAGAATCATTATGGTTGGAAGAGACCTCAAAGATCATCAAGTCCAACCATATACCTGATGCCACCATGTCACCATGTCATCTTCTCTGAACAACTCTTCCCTCGATACCAACCTTTTCAAGATGCTTCTCTGTTTGTGACTGGCCAGCAAATATTTAATGCAAGCTTGTGGCTAACAACTGGAACTTCCTTACTTGGAAAATCCTTGGATGGGAAGAAATTCTTTATCAGATTTTCACAGTAAAATTGCACTCCTTCCGAAAATTGCACTTCTCTTGCACACAGAAGAGGTACCCTACAGAAAGCCTGAATGGTAGTATTTTTTTCTTGAATAAAAACATGGTAATGGCAGTGTGGGCTTCCTCAGGGTGGCTGAACTTGTCCATTTGCCACCCATTTACCAGATGAGTGTCTTTAGCTTGCCAGGGGAGATACCATCCTTTTACCATGTCATTTGACACTGCCAGGCCTTAAACTAAAACCAGTCAGAGGAAGATGGGATACTTGATTGATAGAAATTATGGAAATGGTATTCTTACTTTTTACCTTCTAAGGCTTGCCATGTGTTGCAGTTCTTCAGAAGTTTTCCACAATGCTGATCTGCCTGTATTCATCACCTTCATGAGAATAACGTGCCTTTTGAATTCTTTCTCCTATTTCACCAGTGTCCTCTTAGCTACTGCTTCGGATTTAAAATGGAAGTGAGCTGTGGGCTGTAAATGATTAAGCTCTTGATTGTAAATTTAAAAGTTTTCAATGCTTTTGTAACAGAAAAAACCCAAACATATACATATGTGTGTGTGAGTGTAGAGATATATATATAAAAAGGTATATATAACATCAATCTTTTGCACTTGCTGTTGTTAAGAAGGAGGTCATCTTGAGTCATCCTTTATCTGCAGATGCAGACAACTAATTTGCAATACTCTGCCTCAGTAGGGCCTGCTTTTTAAATGACATCAGAGTGCCAGCACGTGTAAATGAATCACTGAAACACATTTTTCCTAACTGTGGGCATTTCTTAGAACTGCAAATGAAACATTATGAAACAGTAGCTGAGACTGTTTAGTACTTACAGTATCTGAGACACCTCATGTGTTGATTTCCCACATTAGGTTTTCTTTTCTGTTCAGTTCAGTTTCTCTGCTAGTGAAATTCTCTGAGGAGAAACCTTTTCATGTGATCACAGCAATTTAACTGTAGTATTATCTGTAGTACTTTTTGATAGTCCTTGATAAGTCATGTACAGAGACAATTTTAACTACACTGTGTAATACTAATAAAACAAATTAGTAATTAAGCCTTCAGGATGTTTTAACTGATCTATTTTCCCTGCATTTCCAAACACCTTTTGTTTTCCTATTGTCAGAAAGTCTCTGTATCGGAGGTGGTTACTTGTTTCAATATTCCACAAGATAAGTATTTTCCACATTTGTTTGTATTCTGGGGATGCAGGGTGAATTGCTCTCAGAAAGCAAGCTTGAGGTTTGAGTGTAGTGGCTGTTCAGATTGTTTCTCTCCAAACTGTGACTTGCCTCTCTCATTATGAATAATGCCTTTCAAATTCAGAGATACTTACTGTGAAACTTAGTAATAGGGAGAAGATTAAGTCTGATTAGGCCGTGAGAGCAACAGCTAGTTCTGGCAGGTAATTTCTTTGTCTTTGAGAAGAAAAACTCTTTTCTGCGCTACAGACTCCCTCTCAAGTATTGAGAGGAAAGGTGTTAGAAGCACTTTCTTTTCAGAAGCCAAAGACATTCTCTAAAGGCCCATGTGGAGCAGACAGGTGATTTTCGTCCTTCTTGCAAGATAGATTCTTCTAAACAAACAAAGAGCAGAAAGGATAAAAGTTCCACAGAGTGAGTGGGCATTCCCAGCTGCCTCCATAGACTTGAAACAGAGCAGCTAATTTTCCTACTGGAGCTGGGGCAATGAGTACTGCTGAAAAATCTTTTGACTCTTTTTCACTAAAAGTATCTGGTGTCAGAATCAGCTGAGAATGCTATCTGCAGTATTGACAGCACAGACAGCACATGTACTGTGTCAGCACAGTCCCCTCTCCTCCCTGAATAGTGAAGCACTGTTTTGAATATATTTTGGGAAGAGGGAATGTTTTACAACGTTAGAAGTGTATACAAAATTCCTCCTCTTAAACAGATATTGTTGCTCTGATTTATTCTGCTTGACAGGAATGGGTGGAGGCAAGTATCACTTCTTGCAAGTGAGAAACAAGTTCAAGCCAGAAACTCAAATTGGCGCTGCATTCCTGTGAGCACATTTGACCTTTTCATTATAGTAGCACATTCCAATAAATGCTGAAATTAGTCCTGAGTTTTATTTGGGCCTGTGCTGACAGCCAAATGGGAACTTGCTAATGTTCTAAGGGTTACCTCATAAAGCTCCTTGCTACTGAATTATAGCATATGTAGAGCATAAAATACTGAAGTAACTGGAAATTAAAATGTCACAAATCAAATCATTGTCTGTTTATAACTGTTAAAGAAAAACAGAGCCTAAGTCTTGACAAAATTTCTCAACTTCTGCACAGAGTATTCGTAATTTTACTAGGAGCAAGGAAAGCAGACAAGTACTGCCAAAACTGACTGAAGCTGAACTGTTAATTTCATCCCCCCAAAATCTTTTGTTCTTTACTTTTATGATTATTGTAACAAATGTAAATGTCTCTTCCTCTCTTCATTTAAGGAAACGGTCTGTCCTTGCAATTTTTGGTGTTCAGTGTTTACCCTAAAATGCTCAATGAGGTCAGGTAATGTTATCACCTCCATTCCATGGGGGGAAACACAAAGGTAGTCACACTGCAATGTCAGCTTAGCAGCCAGATTTCTTGTCTGCAGAAGTTTTGACCTTGTGGTGCATTAGCAGTGCTGTGACAGTATGGTCTGACTTGGGAGGAACCAGAGGTTGAGACATCCCCTCTTTGCGCAGACTGCGTATGCCCGTGGCTGGAGTGCTAGAGGCATTTGAGTTGGTCTGTCATCTATCGCATGGGGCAGAGTGACAGGCACACTTGTGCCATATCCCACTGCTTTCCTGCCCAGTTTGGTTCATCTAAACTCAGCAGCACACACAGGCTGCAAGTGTCCCTTCCTGGGCTGGCTGTGCTGTCTGGCCAGACA